GCATCTATCAGATTGTCAAAAGATAAAAAACAGAAACCAAAAGAATCACGCCACCAATCATCATCAAAGACCTAGATCAAATACAACATGATATTAGTCTTATTGCACTATGCAGAAAATACATAATTTCTCTTCAACTTGATTCCAACCTTCCTCGCATTTGTCAATTGTATTTATCATAAACTCTCTGGGTCACAGAGGCATAATGTGATTTGATTATTCAAGTTTCTTCACCTGAAATTATCAAATAATCACACAATATGACCCAAACAGCCGGATAAGCACTCATCTGCAGAGGTCAGAGGGAAATACTGTGAGAAAAAACATCATTACAGTTTTTGGAAAACTCTACCCTGTGTCAAACAATAGAAGCTGATTTACAATTACTAAGTTACAATTTTAAAATATGCCCTAAATCAATGAAATCCTCTGTTTGTAAATATTTAGTATTTTGACTAATTCAATGGAGCAGGATCCCATTGTCATATTGTATAATCTAAATTACATTTCATGTTCAAACAAAAGAAAATTATTTAGCATAACTGATGTGTATTGTGTTGTCACCATGTAGTTGTAAAATAAAAACATGTTTACTCATAGGACCAAATTTCAGCGACAAGACTTCCTGCTTTGATTTAACTTGTAAAAACTCAGTCAGATCAGCACAAAAGCTTTGGGGGATCTCCACGATGTAACACAACTGTTAATTGAGAGCAGTGTCTGAGATGATTGTCACGTTGTTGCATGAACAAACTCACTGGTTCCATCTCCTGGACAAACACATATCGCACAGACTGGACAAAGAGATGCAGGCAGCCAAAGCACAAACAAAATCATATATTTTCTCATAACATTATCATACAAACAACCAGACCATCCATCTACTTTTCTGGGGAACTCACTCAAAAATAAAAGGGAATCACAAGGTAAAATTCTGATCAGCCTTGTCCAAGTAAATTAATTTAAATGTTTTGTTTTTTTTCTATGTTTAAAACAAGCTAATAAACCAGACTGGTGGTTTAGAAAATTGTCCCTCTCAAGGAGAAGAACAACAGTCGGAAGTCATAGGCATGTGACAGGATTTTTGGGATGTTGGGGGAACTAATTTGTTCTTTCTCACCACACTACAAGATCATTAAAAATATCAAGATAAATTGATTTTATTCTTCACTTGCATCAGTGGTTTTGGTTTGCTGCCACACTTCAACCATAAGGACTTTCAGTCATAACAAATCATAGACAAAATATAGAATTCTGAATTCATTTCAACTCAGTAAGTTAAACAAGAAAAAAGGAAATACAGAACATTTTACTCTCGGTTGTCAACACTGAGGTGTTTAATGCTGTACATGTTTACCATTACTATGTACATTGACATCAGTACATAGAAATGGTAAACAGTGTCCACTAGTGGCGGCATTCATCCATGCAAGTCCTACGTGTGTGTTTGTGTGTGTGCGTGTGTGTGTGTGTGTGTGTGTGTGTGTGTGCGTGTGTGTGTGTGTGTGTGTGTGTGTGTGTGTGTGTGTGTGTGTGTGTGTGTGTGTGTCAGTCTGCACATCTCAATGTTTAGTGCGTTCAACGTTGATTCTAACTCGCATTAGAGAGGCTCCTGCAGCACCAGAGTACACATGGTTTGCATTGCTTTCTGAGCACCTCTGTGTCTCTGTAATCTCTCCACCAAGGGAACTTTTGATTTACTGTTGAATCATTTGCCAAATGTATGCCCTACGAGTTACATAACAAAGTCCATCAAGGTTAATGACAAGTTGATTTGCTCATTATTGCTTATTTTTTGGGTAACTTTCAATTCTAAATCTTAATTTAGAATTGAAAGTTTCACATCCTGAATTCAATTCATCTTATGAGTTGACCATTTAGAGTTCACTTTGAGGTTAATGTAAGCAGTTTTCCTGCCCCAAGCCATAACCCCTGGCAGCTGCAGGGGAAATTAATAAACTGATATAAATCTCCCTGGCATAAAAGAACACTAAAAGTCTAAAGACACGCTAGTGGCTCACTGAGGCCTTACTCAAACACACCAGTGCTTTAACCTTTAAGCTGTACTGCTTATGATGACAATGTTTACATTCTGATGTTTAGCTGGTTAATGTTTACCATGTTAGCTATGCCTTTTAACATGTCTTAAACAATTTATTGTGCTAACCACAAAAAGCTGAAGATGACTAGAATGTTTGTGGTTTTGAACAATTCTAGTCATAAATCAATCAAATTCATAAATGCGAGTACCACATTTTGAGGCAATTATTTTAATATCTATTAAGACATTTTTGTCAAAAACATAAACTTTAGACTCATTATCGTACTGGACGGGAACTTATGGGATGACCAAATTAATTATTAATTGCCTGGGAAGATATTTCTCTGTATAAGGGAAGAATGTGACCTGCTTGTGATGCTAGAGGTAACGTCAGGTTATCCTCAGTCACTACAGTTCATCCTCTTGGGAACATGAATGTCTGTACTGATTTCCATTGCAATCCATTTAAAAGTAGTTGAGACATTTCAGTCTGGACCAAATGGGCCATGCTTCTAAAGAGAAAACACATTCCACTGTAAGTATGAGATTAAACACGTATTAATGTAGAAAACAGAACACAGGATATTATCACCAACCCCGAACAGCTTGGAAAGTTAGGATATTATTTTTTTCCCTGCTAATTTCTGCACCAGCAGCAGTGTCCCAAATCAGACGTCTATTACAGCTGTCAACTCCCTATTCACATGAGTCGCTCTGGGGGATGCAGATTCATGCTGGCCGATAATGACGGGTGAAATGACCTGTGCAATTAACCCTTCTTCATGTGAGTAAAACTGAGCCCCATAAATGGCTGACAGATTCAATTGCAGTTCAGCCCCCGGTTAGCCGCTCATGCCTTGCAAGAAGTAGAATGGACATCTGTTTGGTGTATTTTCTGCTTGTGAGGGTCTAATTGCTTGAGGATGAGATATTTCCATTCAGTTAGGAGTGGGTCAGGGGAAAGGATAGAATCTTCTGAGTGATTAGTAGTCTAACTTTTCAAAACACAAGTGGAAGAAAACTGTTATTCTGTATGACTTGTCAGTTACAGAATACATGGAGGCTCAAATGGTTTTTGCATGTTCTGTGTGGTGAGGTGATTACAATACAGTGTGTCTAACATCCACTGACATGAACATGATTCATTTCCAAACACAACACTTTAAGGGTGCATGAGTGCATGTGTGTTTATACATTTACATGTACTGTACACACACATGCGGACATACTGTTTGTATTTCACATCAATCTTGTAAAGTTAAACTACCTTAGAGGAAACAGCCTTATTCAGTGCAGCTGGAGAGAAAACAGTGACATTTCTCTTCTTCCTGGAAAGATTTGTCTGGTTTGTCTGCAACGGAACAGCAGCACATTTCATCCACAAATAGCACTGCGGAAGAAGAGAGAGGGTGAATTTTAAAATGTTAGCAGGGATTCAAAGTATCCTAGCACTTGATCATTAAATTGACCTTGGTTATCTCCATTAGAACAGAACTGGATGTTGTTTACATCTGGACTTTCAATCAAATATTATCACGTGGTATACATAATCATATAAATCGTACATATCATATTTGTTGTGCTTACCCTGATCTACCTTGAAGTCTTTTACAGCTGTGTGAGTAAGTTCTACTGTGATGAGTAAAATAAAATAAACAACTTTTAACAAATCCTGGAAAAAGAGCATTTGACACATTAAGCCTTGTTTATAGAGATAGAAACAAATCCCATAACACTGTTTCTGTTCCTTCTCATTTGAGTTTTCTCTCTTGTGTTTCTGCCCCATTGTACTCTTTGGCTTACTTTCTTTACCTTTTAAAAAAAATTCTCTACAAGCATATCCCGCCTTTAACCTCCTTTTTTGCAACTTACATAGTGCCCTGACGACTGACACTTGCACTATGGAACAAGTTAATGCCACACGAAACAACTTTACATTTGTTTAGTTTATATGCAGTATTAGGCACATAAACTCAATTACTTCCACTCATAATTGCTCTGGTCTCGATTATTAAACACAAAGAGATGTGTGCCTTGTAGCCTGTCTAATTTCAATTATTAGATTATAAGAAGATCTGTCACAATGAATAAATAAGAAAATAACATTTACTTTATAGCCTCCTACATTCTTTCACTAAATAATGCAGGAGACTGTTGTCGGGTTGAGACCACGATGTGCTTTAATTTGCAGCTTGGTGTAAAGTGAAGTTCTGACTTTCATTTTGACACCCACAATGGCTGGTTTACAGCTTGAGTTTCCAAGGGAAGTTTGGAGTTGTTTAATTTGTTTAACAGGATCACTCGCAAAACACATGTGCAGCAGACAGATCCGTATGCAGTTTGTTGTGTCTCACAGCAACCGTATATCCTTGTGCATCAATTGTAACTTAACAAAAAACAGAAAAACTTGAATGCTTTCGCCAATTCCACTGATATTAACACCATGTATGTCTTTAAACGGGTTATTATTAATCTTTTGAGCAAGTTGTTCTTGACATGTTGCTTCAAATATAAATTGAAAGAATACGTTCACCTTAGATAATTCACACCATTGTTTGTCCCTTGATTAAATGTCATGTGTTCATTAACTACAAAAAAGCGTGCTTTGAAGCGCACTGTGGTTATAACACAATTCAGTATGTTTTGACTGGCTGATAAGAAACACAATTTCCCATCCAGTATCAATTTAACACCAAAAGCAGGGCACGGAATCTGCAGTATTCAGTGGAAAGTGTGAAACTTGGAGTTGACAGACTGAGCCTCTTTCATAACAAAACCCCTATTCCATTACCAACACTGGAAGCGGAAGTTGAAGCCATTAATCTGGACCCATCCCTCTGTGTACTCTGCATGGGTGGGGACTGGAAGAAGCAGAGGATGGACCCTCAGACGTCACCACCTCTGCCCAGCCTCTCCTTCTGCTCACGGCTTAGTCAGGACTGATGGTGAGAGGGGATGAGTGTAGTGACAATAGAAACCAACAGGAACCGCTGAGTGGAAACCTGTAGACTGTAAACTGGGAGTAATGTGTTTCTTATAAGCGTCGTTGGATTTGCTTACAACTTTACGGGAAGTCTTTGCTTTGTGCTTCTGCCTCTGGTTTCGTGCCTCCTTGGATGTTGCGCCACGCTGCACACCGTTTGCCAACTGGCATGTGAGGGATCGCGTGCAGTTTACAGTGCGCTGGCACGAACACGTTTCTTCAGCCTTTTCAGTGGCAGGAACCCGGCCGAGCCGATGAGTGCGCCCCACATGTTCCTCTCAAACGTCTACAACATGTTGTTCATCACATTTGCCAGATGATACCTGTTGATTTTTCCTCGCACCATGTCCTCCTGTCAGACTGAGCTGGACAATGAAGTTATGGGATAGCCTGACCACTTGTTTGATACTGCTGAGCGCCGTGCACGCCAGCCGGCTGCTCCGGAGCCGACCGCAGTCCTCTTCCACCGAGAGGAGAGGGCGCGCCGCCGAGAGTCCCCTGGAGCTCCCGCCGATTCAGGGCCGCCTGTCTCTCGCTTCCCCGGGAATGAGCCTTGCTGAGGCTGGTACAGCGGACTGGGAAAGGACGCTGGCTGAAGGAGAAAAAAGTAAGAGCGTGTGGTTTTAAGTATGGAGTGCCCAAAAACACAATAAGATTAGCCTCCAGCAGGCATGCTCGGTCTTGAATTATTTTTATTTTCCATAACAAAAAATAGGCTACTTTAAAAAAAAATGAACAGCCGTAAATTCAAAACATGTGAAACTGATTGGACCGAATTACACTTCAGATAATCATCAATGTTTACACATATTTTATTTGTACATATTATGGTGCCATGGTTCAGCTTTTAAACATTTGTTATGGTGTCCCATTCTTGCCTCCAACCTTAGGACTGCCACATTCAGAGCTCTTGGGTTGTGGTGGTATTACTTTCTTTATACCTTTTAACACTGGGTAGGCCGTAACAAGAGTTGGTTTTGGACATACATTTAATTCAATTGTGTTATGTAGGTTGGCAAGAAACGATTATTTTTCAATAGATCAATTATTCATTTTCAAATAATTGTTTTGTTTATACAATGTTATGTTGTAAATGACAATAGTTGTCAATTTAATTTCAGTAAATCCACAATTTTAACTCTAGTGGTATTTGCTATAAGAGTGGCTTCTGTTTCTTTAATGAAGCACTCAAATTACAACAGTCTGGTTCATAAATAAAAACATTTGTAACTGAGCAGTCAGTTCAAATTAAATTCCTCACAACATCTGTTCAATAGCCAGATGATGAGTGAAACAATATGTGCTTGCTGCCCTTGTAAGAGTACCATTTGTCTTGATGTGTTTCAGACACCATGGAGGAGTCCCCTACAAACGAGTTTAAGGACATGGTGGATTTAATCAAAGGGACCATCAGTAGAATACGTCGTTCCTCCTCATCCACTGTGTCCTCATCTACCTCCTCCCCTACCTCTTCCCCCTCCGAAGAAGACCTGAGCAGCAGGACTCGACTCAGGAGGAAAAGGAAGAAGGGGGCAAGCCAGCAGAGTGGAGGAAGAAGAGGAAGAGCTAGAGGAGGGGAGACAGGAGGGAAGGTAAGGGGAGGTAACAGACGAGGACAGGGCTGTGTGCTCAAACAGATCCACCTCAATGTGACGGACCTTGGGCTGGGTTACAGCTCCAGCGAGGAAATGATATTCAGGTACTGCTCCGGACCCTGCAGGAAGTCTGAGACAAACTATGACAAAATCCTTTATAACCTCGCTCACAACAGGAGGCTTCCTCCTAAGGACACGCCCCCACAGACCTGCTGTCGGCCAATATCGTTTGATGATGACCTCTCGTTTTTGGACGACAACCTGGTGTACCACATCGTGAGGAAGCACTCTGCCAGGAAGTGTGGCTGTGTGTAGGGAGCTGGTGTCAGGTGTTGTGTAGTTTAACATACCCTCCCACTTTGAAGTTGATGTTGAGTGTTTTTTCTTCTGTTTTTCCCACTGTGAGGAGACTTCCAGGCATTACTTGTGGTCGAATCCAGTCCAACCGTAAAGGAATAAATAAGGAAAGGAGTTTACAGTTTTAACCTCAAAGCAAGGATCCTCTTCTTCTCCATTGCTTAATCCAAATATCCATAATTTCCTTCACAGTTCACACCTCACATTGCTAATATGTTCAGTGTGATTTTAAATGTTTCCATGGATACTTTACCTTAAGGACTGAAATCAGTCAGACACAATGGATGATTCAGCAGACTCGTTCTGTCTATTGTATAGCACGTATGTTACATGGAAAAAGTTATACACATATGAAATGTATTTATGAAAACTTGAATTTATTAACTTATTGATATTTATTATGTTTTTATAAAAGGAATACATGTTATTTATTACTGTAATGTGATATCTCAGACCGTGCCAAAGGTTTAAAACAAATAATTTGATGATCTATTTCCATATAAAAGCTGTATAAAAGACTGGTTTACAGGCCCTGTGGAATTGTCTTGCAAACAAAGGTTTGTGTTCATTTATTGCTTTTCACCAAAGCACATTGTGTGTCCTTGAAGTCTAACAAAAGAGTTTTCTAAATAATTTTCTTCCTCATAAAACATTTTCGAAGCCGATTTTGAAAACAGTAATTTAAATTGTGCATTGTTTACATCGTGATCAAGCGCTTGCAGGCTTCTTATTTGCTGTTGCATTCATTGCTACTTTGGTGCATTGCTCACATGCTCATACTATACAAAGAAGCAGGGACCATCTCTTAAAAAGTAGTCAAAAACTCTACAGGACATCTTCAAAACTGCCCTCACTATCTTATCCTAGTGTATTCACTTGATGTGTAAGTGAAACAAGATTTCCTGATAGAAATGTACCTACAGCTATATTTTTTATACGATATTCACTTTAAAAATGCCTCATTTACTTGTTAATAAATGTATTCTACACAGTGTATTCTGTATGTGATTACTAAGACAGGATTTTGTGTTTCAGATCTATGTCGATGAGTTTAGCAGACAAGAAGCCATGTTGTCATAAATTGTCCATCTGAACAATCAGCCAATGCTCAGAGAGAAACTCAGGTTTCCAACATTACGCCATACAGCCATAACATACGCTTGGCATTGATAAAAAAAAACGAGACAGGTAACAGAAATTAATCATTGTATTTCCGTCACTTTTTGTGTGAAAGTGGAAAAGCAGCGAGAGGAATGGGGCGTCAGGGATTTGCCTTTGTAATATATAAAGGATTGTAGAAGGATCTTATCAAATGACAGGAACAGACATCAAACAGAAGAGGATGGAGTATCTGTACATACATTAGAGTATAGTATCTATAGTACAAGTATAAAAGGAAAATGAGATGGACAGCAGATAGATAGATGGATGAAAGACGAGTGATACAACATACAACATGGATTAATGAGTTAAGAGATAATGTATGTGTTGGCAGAGAAAGGGGGACAATGAGAAGACAGTATAATTGAAAGGTGGCGCATATCCAGAGAAGACAATGATGAAGGAAAACTTGAGAAGAGATGATGTGCCTTGCTTAACTAATGTGTGTGGTCGATATCTGATCTATCCGCTGCTCGCATTTCACAGCCCTTCCTCTGCCTGTCCCCGAGCTGTGAGTCAGCGCTGCCTGGTTCAACAATTACAGGGCAATACTGGGGCTAAGACTCCCTTATTTTCTTATGTAACTAATTATCTCGATAAGCGACACTGTGATTCTCTGTGAGAGGCTTTGCAAGCTGATACACCAGTCAAGCTCAGAGCTGGGGATTGATAGATTCTGACAGCTGGGGTTACACTGACGTGTTTACAGTTCAGCTCTGTTGGCACTGCAGATGTTTACGTCTCTGTACTTGAAAATGTTAATCTTTTGGATGTTGATATTATTACCATGGTACTGTTATGGTAGTAAAAACTGCAGCTAGTTGACCATTGATTAATAGAAATCAGCTATGCAAATATACCAATATTGAAATAAAATGAGTGCCACGTTCACTTTATTTTTGAGCTTCCTCGCTTTTTGGTCAACCTAGAAATGCAGTTGAATGAGTCAACACTTTCCATTGCTATAACTTCTATTTCTCCTTTATTCAGTTATTAAGCCACAGTTTTACTCAACACTTAACATTTAACAAATTGGCCGAGTGTGGACTGTAGTTTGATTGCTGCAATGGGACCAATAAAGCATAAAACTGAGTTAACCATGACAGTGCCAAACCTTTATTGGCCCCCCTGTAGAAAATATACAAGGCCATCAGTTTAACCTGCAGGGGAAACCATTAGTGCTCACTGACAGTCAGAATAGTGTCATTAGTCAGATGAGTCTGAGCTGCTCTTTTGTTCGTGGTGTCAGAGGAGCTTGTAATGGAGGATAATGTTCCTGTGGAGTGTAATATAACACAAGCAATAGCGGAGGGATGGTGCTCCAAACAGGTGCTAAATACTGTCAGAACTGAGAAGGAGACACTTATGTTACAGTGATCGCTTCAAAGGGCTGGTTCACCTTAAATATAACATAATGTCTAGCCATATAACGTTTTCAGATATGAGATATTATCTTAGTAAAATGTGAAGTGTATAAAATAATGCTTGTAGTGCACGATACAAAAAATATGCCATTTTATATATATTTATATTTTCTAAAAAAATAGAAAATGTTTTATTATTGTTAGTTGCCAGCACATGTTCAGGGGAAAACAAGATTGTTTAATTTTCTAAATTCATTTTCCATATGGATACTTTTATTGTGCAACTGAGCAGCTGAGCAGTCAAAGACATATTTTAGTAGTTATTATGGGGTAAATAGGGCAGGCAAAGTAAACACTGCTGTTAAAAGTCAGTTTCTCAGAAGGAAAGCTTGTCAGCATGATGGTTTTAAATTGCACTTCATAAAGTGTCTCTGCAGTAGCTCAAACACTCATCATTCCATCCAAATGAGTGGCCAGCTTGTTTACAAGAGAAAGCAATTGTCGACCACCATTGTGCCAGCTGGCGTGAGAAAAGATACAAATTATAACCTAAGTGTAATCACGGTTATATGAGACATAACGCGGGTCTTCATCAGAGATCTGCCAAACCACACAAGCTCTTTGTGCCACTGCTGTCAGTGTGACTCATACTATATGAAGAGTCAATTGTAAAGACAACCACAGAAGGAGGAAGGAGAGGCATCGCAGATGAAAACAAAACAGCTGACAACACAACACTGAAGCTTTCTCACTTCTTTTTAGAGAATAAAATAGACTCCAAGATGTGATATCTTCTCATATACACAATTGATCAAAGTAGTTTGTCTTTTGTGGGTCTTGAAAATGTAGAAAGGCAAAAGGGGGGTTTTGGTTCCAAACTTCAAAAATCATTAAGATAAAAGAAACAGGCTGGGAGCTGTAGTTTAGGAAGGATAGCTGTAGTTTAGGAAGGATAGCTGTGCTGACAGTGGACTGGCTGCAACACAAAGCAGAAGCAGAGGGGATTAACGTGGAGCTCTAACCACACTGCCCTGATCATCATCTACTGGCCTATCGCCAAACCTCCAGTCTGGACCACCAGCCACAGGCTCCCACTCATCACTACCACACACACAGACACGTGTTATCAGTCATCTCTCAAGTGAACTGCAGATGGACTTTACATTCATTCACCCAATTATCAGAGAGATGAAAGACAGAACAATGGACACCATCAAAAAAACATCAGTGGTGAGACATTTATCAAAACCCTAATTTTCAGCTTTTAGTTTTTGATTTAACAAAGGTTTAATATTTAATGGGCTTGCAATTGAAAGGGTTTATGGTGTAATATAACAACACTGTACTGTACATACTATATGTTTAATGTACGTAATATATGTTTAATGTACGTAATATAAGTCAGTTGAACTTCAGTTAACTTGTGAACCTGACCCAGCTCAGTCCTTTAGCGCATGCAATATTTTGACACGAATTATAGATGTCGAAAAGGAAATGGCAAGAGGTGTGAATGTAACACTATCACCTGCGAGTTGGTGAGACGAGGTGTTCGACCCGATGGTTAAATATTCAGGTGCAACCTGAGAATGTGCATTACAGCACTCTCAGCCTCACTAATTTGAAACACCATTGAGTGCATGTAATCATACAAGAAAAGCATACATCGCTATGTTTAAGTGCTGTGGCAGAGGACCTTTATCAAAAGCCAGAAAGTGCAATTGAATGTGAAAATAAAAGTTGTCTAAAATCCACGCTAGACGTGCTCTTATGGCTACGTGTGTAAATCCTATTCTGAATGAATGCCTAGTAAGAGTAGGCAGCTCAGCCAAAGACATTGACTGGTTGATGACATGATTTTTCAGCCACTTCTGTGTGTGATCGATGTCAGGGTGAAATGATAAGAAATGGCTCACAGGCCGACTGGTTGAAGCCCTGCTGGACAGGAAGCTGTCCGCTGTAGTGTGACACACTACATCAAGCCGGGAGGAAACAGCTGAGATGATGTGACAAAGTCACACAAGCTCACAGAGAGATTGAGCAGCGAGGATTTACCTTAAAGGGCCCATGTCATGGCCATTTCCACTGATCATAATTCCATTGTTGAGGTATACTAGAATAGATTTATATTGTGCAATTTTCCAAACTCACATTGGTTTCTCATAAAGCATCTCTGTAAACTACGTGTATTCACTGAATTTCACTCTCTGCCTTTAACGGCTCGTTGTAGCTCCCAAAGCTCCAGCCCCCACCCTCCCTGTGAGCACAGTGTGCTCTGATTGGTCGGGACGTTGTGAATCGCGCTGAGCTCCGTGGAGGTGTTGTTTCCTTGTTAGCGATACACAGCCAAACACAGCCAAACTCATCCTGAGCACACACAAAGTCACAGCCGAAGTAAAAACAATAAGTGTGGCTTGATATTGAGTAAGAAAAAGGTTGATAAACGCTGTGAGAATGGGTCTGCAGAGAGAATTTCGCCGCAATCCCAACTGTCTGTTATCAGCCTGCAGCCAGGGAGGAGAAATCAGCTGAGCTGCCTGCTCCCTGCACACAGATGTGTGTGTGAGAAAGTCCGTGGATTGGTCAATTTGGACCAATCAGCGGGGGCTTAACGTAACGGCTCCGCGGACGTAACGTAACGGCTCCACGGATTGGTCCATTTCGTTCCGGGTACGGCTTGACATCATGCCGTACCCGGAACGAAATGGAAGAATCAAATGGACAATGACGTATCTCCAACTAGGCGTTTTGGGGAGGTATTTTCTGTGTTAGAGTTTTACTCGCTACAGGGTGTACTTTGAGGGTTTGTGACTCTGCAGACCATTTAAATGCATAAAAACCTTCATAACACACA